TGCATAGTAATCCTCTTCAAGGAGTACCTGAGAAAGGAACTGAAAAGATTAAATTTAGTAACAAGAAGAGTGACTGACAGGTTGGCTGCTCAGCTGAGCCTATCTGTTACCTGGATGGTGGGCAGCATTCATGCACTCTTGGTTTGAAATTACCATTATCTGGATTCGTAGGTATCTCCGGTTCTTGTGAAATAAGCGATGGTGGTGGACACGCATTCATTCGACTGTTCCGTTATTGGAACTGTAGTGAAGGCTGCGTTAAACGGCAGCTTGTCGACGAATCTGCAAAACCAGACGTTACCCGTTTCCCATATTCCTTTTCAGATACGGCTGACAGTGTCACTTTCTTTGAGATGGTCAGAATTTCCTGCAAAAGAGTTTTCCTTCTTTTGATGCTTGCTTACGTGACCACGGCCCAACCATATTATGAGTATGACTGTGGAAGAGAGAGAGAGTTCGTTTTCTCTCAGATTTGTGAATATAGACATCAGACCCTGTTAAAAGATGTTTGGGCCTAACTGAGGTTATCAGATAGTGTCACACCTACATATTTCACATCAGCAGTTTTGGGGAAGCGGAGTGTTTGGACAGGGAGAGCGCCATGGCTATTGCACAGGTAATTTTGACTTTGGTCGACGATGCGATGAAGACAGTTTCTTGGTATTTTCGATATTTGATCAGCTGAAAACATATTTCAATTAATTTTCTGAAGAAAAGTACTCACAGGACTGCCGGATACTCCAAAGCATCCAAACTGAGAACACTTTCCTCTAGGAATATTCACTGTGAATATCGTATCAGTTGAAGCATGAGGGGACGCCCATACAGCACATTCACTTGGAGAATATCGCAAAAAGGCACTCAGCTACGTTTTGTTTAAGTCTCTGGCGTGCAAATAAGTGTATTTTGCGAATCCCTTCAGTAAAGTTCGCGAAGTGCAGGTGCGCTTTATGTAGGCGATAGTCACAGTCAGCAACTGCGTCCTCAGTATGCCTGAAATAGATCAAAAATCACGGTTTGACATTTTCCATTCGTACAAAAAGGATAAAAGGTTCATGCATATGAACACCGTTCAAAGTTGACAATGAAGAAGAGCGGCTACCAGCCAGGCTTACATGCAGCTGGTGAAGTAGTCTTTGATTTTTGGAGTTTTGTTTGGTGTCTAGTTTACCGACCGCGGCAATCGTCTCTCGTCTCCGCTGCTTGAAACATCAGTGTCGTCGATCAACAGCATTAGCTTTCGTAACCATTGATGAAGTTACGCAAAGCACCAGTTATGCAACAACGTTTACTCTACGGAAGGACTGAAAATATACAAATTGGAGTAGGTCCTAGTCCAGGAGATTACCTTATATTCCTTTCAGCGGGGTTTATTCAAAAAGCTTCAGAGAAATGACGATGCAGACACCTGACCTAAATCTTTTCGTTCCTTTAAAAGGGAACCAGTGTCGTTGAGCCACTCGCCAAGAGAAGGCAATTTACCCAAAGCAGAGAGAGAATATCTATTTGTTACGGCTATCAACATACTATGTGGGAATCAAGAGCAGTAAAATTTCGGGCCCATAATTTTGGTCTTGCACTCACGAGACCATGGTTTCGAGTGAAGCAGACGAGTTTGACAGATCTATGGAATCGTACTCAAATTTGTCAAGTTCTAGAAAGTAACTTTAAATGTTTTCAACGCCATTGTTTTACGGCTTGTCACATTTCACAAATTTTGTTGCCCAGTGCTTCATGGACAGAGATTTTGTCGCGAAATCTCACTCAAGTCTGACTGATTGCAAAAGATCTGAAAGCTCCCCTGTTTTATAAGCCTAAGACGACCTTCTCGGGAGATGCTTTAGCGGTTGGAAATAAAACTTCTCGGTACTGACGTAGTTGTTTTCTTGAAGCATACCCTTGAGAATGTATTCGAAAATCAGTGGTCGGAGCAGTCAGGCGGTGTGCTCTATGAGAAGTGAGGTGTGATATTTCTTCATAAATATATGGTCGATTTGGGCCTCCAGACCTGATTGGAAATCCACAATTTTGGTTATACCCAAAAAATTTAGATAAATACAATTAGAATAATGTGAATCCTCGAGGGATAAACAAAAATTACCGATAAAACTTATTGAGGGGGGTTCAGAACGAGACAGGTCATGGCTCTATAGTTGGACGGTTCCATCAACCAGAGTTCAGTCTAACTAGATTTTATGAACCAAGAGAATGCTAGTATGTGTATTTTTCCGACAGAAATTTTACATAGTGACTGAATAGTGCTGGAGAGCACCGCTGGGGTTTCATCCCCGGGATTTATGTGCAAGTGCGACTAACTTAACGGCACGGCGTTTCCAATTCAATCCAAAATGCCTTCTCAATTATTTTTCACTCCGTGGAACAATTGTTTCTCCGAATGCGCGGAAGAAACTATTTTGATTGACTGGTGTTGTAGGTGAGTACCATGAACCTGAGAGCGATTTATAGTGGCATAAGCTCCAAATACGGTGGCATATTATGTCACCTAGGCGACGTCACACTACTGATCTGTCTGTTGCATCGATTATTTTCTTCACTCTCAGTTGATAAAATTTTACCCACAAGAGAATGTTGACTTTATCCATGTTGTCAGACATCTGTTGTGAAAACTTTTCAAAAGCGTAGTTCTAACGACTCCATCAGCTCTTCACATCCAGGTAACCCCGATATTTTGAAGAACGAAGCCGCAAAACTTCCTCACACATTTGCAAAATACACTGAAGTTGCAACACGTTAACAACAATTTGATCTGCAAATTAAAGCATTTCGCCAGGTGCAATAAAATTGGCTTTCGAGGTAGAACAAAAAGTTGATGAAAACTCTAGACGAGAGCCACTTGATGAGCTTGGAGAAAAGAGACGCGCTTGGCGGGCCAAAGAATTTTTTCCAACTGGCGTATTGGTACCATGTTATGCCAAAAAAGTATCCAACCTGTGTTGTAAAGTAGTCGTGGTCTTTTAATTGTTGCGAATGACACCAGCAGATTTGTGCAGCATATGCGCTAACAACCAAGCAACTTCTCCGAACTCTGCTTCTGAGTAAGGATTTGTATGTTAGTCTTCTCTTGAACTGCTTGGTTTGCTTTCCACACGAGAATCCCCTTTATGTATGATATACTGGCCTGTTTCTGTGTGAACAAATTCATTAACTATATAGATATCGTCAAGTAGGCAACCCGAAAGTGAAATGATGTCTTGCTAGTGAAGAAGATCAGACCCATGTCGTTCAGTCACGATTGAGTTATAGGTGGTCACGCTCGCCATAGATGTCAGCACAGGGGAACGTCTGGACTGTTATTTGTCCGGGAGTAGACTTTAAACGAGACAGTTGCCTCGGAACGTTTTGTGTCTTCTTCTATCCATGGTTGCTGAGTTATTTATTAAGTTACAAGAAAGTAAGTGTATTTTTAAAATATGTCCCATTTTTGTTTCAGCAACTTCAATGGAAAACAGACAGATTAAATTTCATCATAAAATTAATCTTTATCATAGATACTGCTTCCGAGAATGCTCACCTTTGATTATCCAATGGAGATTGGTCGTGCATGCCGGAACATTTTACCCGGTTGAACAGGAACTGTAAAAACTGGACTGGGAAGGGGTCGACCATTGCACTAAAAGAGTACTAGTAATAATCGCTATTTTCTTCATCGGTCCTGTTATTAGGCAGTGATGGTGGTCTCTATGTTGGCACTTTAAATTGGCGCTTTTCTTATTCACAAGAGTCAAGGCATCCTTAACCTACTTTTTATTTGTCCGGATTAAGTTTACATTGAAAAACGAGGAAGAAAAACGGTCCAAATTCACGTCGCTGTACAGTCGCGTCAAACAATATTCCCTTCTGATTAAATCCACACTTCGAACAAGTGTGGTGTAATGGTACAAAAAATAAGGCTTCCTCACCACGTTAATTAGAGGACATGACAAGTCGCAAGTTATGGAAAACCTTATATGAAAAACCCGCTGACCGCTCCTGAGATATACCTCTGAATGGTCATACACCAATGTGGGGCTTTGGTTATTTTCAAATCCTCATTTCGCTTCCCTATTTTCACCCCAAAGAACATCGCTTGAGTTGCTCACTGATATTGTGTTAGTGGGAGGTTAACTCAGCTGATCATCCGTCTAACCGGACGCACAACCTCATGGTTTCGTCGTTATATCAAGCAGGTCCTTCCTGCTTGATCTACAGTGGCATGTTAACAAACATCACTGAAAATTGAATATTAATTTGGTGACATATGTATCGAAAACTTTACCTATTTCTCGGTATTGATCATTCATTGTGTGCCTTGCACTTGTAAGTCTGTGGGCTCAGGAACGGGCTTCGGCGCATTCTAACTGTTTGACTTTCAACTAAATGTGTTTGATATAGTGGTAGCTCATCACGGCAGGCTTTTATAGTCTAGTAGATTTAAAACGTACCCCTCCTGGTAATCTGTCGTTTCAGAAATGCAGGCGTAAAACGCAGACTCTTTATCTTTTTACCATAAAGCTTAAGGTGCGTCGAGAGATTCCATAGATGAGTTGAAAACGAATTCAAACTTCAATGGAGTAGCTGTCGAACTGAAGCTTCCAAGATGAACAAAACTCATTCACTGACTAATGGTCCTACGACTAAATAGGTCGAAAAAAGCTGATTTCAAACCCTTGATTGACACAATGATTTGGTGGATGTTTGATGACCCAAGAATGATGATGATGCGCCAAGAATTAGCAAAGAGCTTCTCAGGTGCTCATATCTATATCCACAAAGCATCTATTGTCAATTTGTCGAAACATAGGTAGCTCGGGTGTGTTTACTGGTGGTTGATCGGATAGCAGTTGATCTGTTCGCCGAACTTGGCAATTGGCTTGCAAACGTTTCGCCCCCAGTCGAGGAGACATCGCCAGTGCACAGTTGAATGGGTGCTTCTTCCGTGCCTAGCTGCGTTTAGGTAGAACCGACCGTGATTTTGTTTTGCTGCGTTGTGGTCTGTATACCTCTTATTCCATTGGTTTGTTGGATGGCTGTTTCGGGTGCTTTGGGTCTGTTTGCAGTTAGTTCATTCCCGGTTTGCATTTCGTTGTGATCTCCCTTCCTTGATTCTGTTTGGTTTTGACGGCGTCTTCTATTTTTGGTAGTTTCTTGGCTTCAGCCTGATTGTTTGTTTCTTTTTTCTTTGTCCGCCTCTGCGTTCTGTAGTTTCGTAATTCTTCTGTTCGCACTGGCAGATAGACGTGTGTTAGATAGATGTGTGCAGATAGATGTGTTTGTTGATGGCTTTTTCAGTAAAGTGCCATGCTTCCATGGATTTACGTTCTTTCTTTGTTCTCGCTTGAGCAAATATGTGAACGGTGCTCCAGGTGAACTTTTGTCCATCTTGATCTTAGTGTACGGAGACGAGCGAAAATTGGTCGTGCCTTTTGGTTGCAAGTTTTTGTTCATGTATCCTGGTAGAAAGCTTCCTTCCCGTTTGTCCCACATAGTGTTTGTCACAATCCCCGCACTGAATCTTGTACACAGCGTTCGTTCTCAGCATTGTGTCTAATTGTCCCTTTGGGTTTGATGGTGTTCTCCGTAGGATGGTACACTGTTGTGATGTACTATCGTAGCAAGCGTGCTTTCTTTTCCGAAATATTCCTGATGTATGGAAGTTTGATCCGTTTGCCTTCTCCTTGTGATGTAGGGTTGGTCAAATCGGTTTTTTTCAGAGTCCGCCAGATGAAATTTCTCGGGTATCCGTTTCTCTGAAGAGCTCTGTACAAGCGTTTCTCTTCCCTGACTTTTGACTCCGTAGTGTTGCAGTGCGTCTCAATACGCTTGAAAACGGTCCGGATGAAGCTTTGCTTGTGACAGTTGGGGTGATTACTGTGGTAGCCGAGAATTTGGTCTGTGCGCGTTGCCTTCCTGTAGACTTCCATCTGCAGTTGTCCGTTTGGTAACCTCGTGATGAGGACGTCCAGGAATACCAGTTTTCCATACGTTTCTTCTTCTATTGGGAATTGAATATCATGAAAAACGCTGTTTATTAATTGACTTGTTTTTTTCAAGTTCAGTCCTTTTGATGATGACAAAGCCGTCGTCTACGTAACGGATCCATATCTTGGGGTTTATGTCCGGAACTGCAACTCGCTCCAGTTATTGCACTACAACTTTCGCAATGAATCCAGAAATCAGAGATCCCATCCTCCTCGTAGTTGTTCGTAGTAGTTGCGGTTGAACTCAAAATATGTAGTCAGGCACAGGCTGAGGAATTCGCAGAGGTCTTCTTTTTCCAGCGACCCATTTGGTTTGCCGTATCTGTCAGGTAGTTCGGCGACAGTTATCTTGGCGGTGTCCAAGTCTACCGATGTAAAAAGCATTTATTTCTTGGAGGTCTTTATCATGAGCTATTGTATGCATTGGGTTGTAGTGTCTGTTGATTGGTTATAACATGGCACCATTAAGCAAACTTCGAAAAATAAATAATCAACGCCAATCCCTAATATTATGCATCACCTAAATCTGCACGCTGTATTCGCCAATGAAATGCCTTTTTCCGCGAAGCTAACTGAACGAAATCATCAATCGGTCACACATGAGAATGATGTTTTCCTCATGACGCATCACTTAGAGCAAAGCTACATCGCCTTATTCCTCACAGACTCCTAGTCTAAATAATGCTGCACTTTCCATTGGAGGATTAGATTCACTTAGTCTCGAAATGATTTTGAGTTCACTTCGCTTCAATAAGGGCTGAATGGCATACGTTGAACTACTGCAGCTTAAGCGAATTCCCGCAGAGTCCTTCCTTCTCGAATAATTGAGCAGGAGTAAAATTGATCCGGTAGGTGCGAAGCTGACCGGTCTTCTGATCAGTACGCACTTGATCCTTGGAATTTGTTTCAGCAGGCCAAGTTCATCTTCCTGTGTCCACCAAACGTCCGTGATTAGCATTGTGGGTTGCTAAATGTTCATATTCTTTTCTCTTCCAATTCGGCGTGTCCTAGAACAAGGTCCCTACAACAGCCCAGTGGTTTTAATTAAGTGGAACAGGTTGAGCGGACAAAAGCGCTTAATTGTCGCACGTCTGTAGTTTCGCCTTACCACAAAGATGACACTGTCTCATATAGTGGACAGTACCCCATCTACCGATCGACAAATCAAAGAAATATAAGGAGAATGCGCAAAAGTGGCTCTATTTATAAAGAAAGGTCATGATCGCTCCCAATACGAAATCAATGGGTGGAAGCCTTGTCAATGGATGTTGCATTTTATTCGTGATTGAGCACGCATTCCATTCATTTCTACCGTATAACACGAGACTCTCATTCACAGATCGGCTTTCGTTTAGGTACCAGCACAACTGTATATAAAAACATCCAAGAAAGGCACATAGAACCAGCCACGAACTTCATGAACTGAAAGATGAATGCCATCAACAAATCGCGCAATATCCAAAGTTTCTCACCTCTATATCACGCGCAGTTTCGTTTGCGTGACTTGTATGAGTTTAAACACCGAGCTAATAAAAGTATCACGAGACGAATGTTTCAACACAAATAGTCCAAACGTAAGTTAATCACCAATGGCGTTTAAACCCTGTCAGATACAACCTGGAGGTGTGCACACATCTAGGGGTCTCCTGACCAAATCTGTAATCACCATCCCTTATCTAATAGCACTATGTGGCCATTCTTCTTCTTTCTGACATTACCAACGTTTCCTTTTGCGAAGGTGACCTGTATAAGAAGTGCTGTACTGATCTGAGCAGTATCAATCCAAAACAAATCATTCCGTAAAAATGTGTTTGGACACGTTGGTGGTCATCATCAAACGAAGTACATAAAGCAGGACGCACGAACTGCTCAATACCATGTTTGAAGATATCAAGTTTACAGTTGAACTGGAGAGGAATAATCGACAAAAATTCTTGGACGTTCTAGTGAACAGGAAGATGGATGGGATACTGGAAACCTGCATATAGCGGAAAGAGACACATACGGACCAAATACTGAACCACAGCAGTAATCATCCAATAAACCACAAGAAGAGCTGCGTCCAAACCGTGTTCCAGAGAGCGCAGACACATTGCGGCACCACAAAATTATGGAAGAAGGAAGAAAATTATCTCCTCAGAGTGTTTCAGAACAACGAATATCCAAGGAATTTTATCAAGAGAAGCTTGTAGAAATCATCTCACCAATAGCAACAGCGAGAACAAGCTGCCAGACGGGTAGATCTACCTTACATCGAGAATATACCTGAGTTCACAACCAGAGTAAATCAACTCCAACCACTACAACAATTCTACGTTGGACAAACTGGGAGGAAATTATGCAGGCCAATAAAGGAACATAATGTGGCCGTCAGGAGACATGACCGCCTATCATTGATATCTATTCACGATAACCAAGAAGGCTACAAATTCAATCTTGAAAACGTGCTGCATACTGAGACACGAGGGAATTTCCGGAAGCATGGTAGTCCGCGGCCGATCCGATCAACCGATACATCATTCAACTGGACCCAATTTATGTACCGCCATGTGCAAAGAACCAACTCCTCCACCGGAATACTCAAGGGCAGCCAAATATTGGATTCACAAACCAAGAAGCAAGGAGCGCTTGGGAGTCGGGTCAACAAAGATCCCAAGTGGAGACCCATAGGGGTTAACGACACTGATCACTCCAGCATTGATCAGAACAAGAGGACAAATAAAGCCACGCTCGAAGGTCACGCGGTCATCGATCATTCACGACAGAGAATGGCAGAGCAACCAAGGGAACCGACCGACCGAACAATTAATCGTAGTCGAAAGTGAGTCCCGGATAACAGAATGTACGTTAACACACACACACACACACGCACAGCACCACTCAACGCACAACCAACCACCGCTACGTCCCATTACGCCCTCTAACAACACACTGATTATGTCACCTCGATTGGTGATGAAACGTTTGCAAACTGCCCAGCTCAGCGAACGAACCAACGATCGACCACACTCATGTACAGGTACAATGACGGCGAACAAATGTGAGGCCTTTGATCCTGAAACTGTGGCTAGTGGGACTGCCAAAGTAATGCGCTCAGGAAAGTTTGCTGTCTGGAACAAATATTCCCCTTCTCCTAATGCTGCCGGCCCTCCACCATCGCTTACCGGCTGCGCAGACCCCAGCAATCAGTTGGTCGTCTGATCAGCGGCCTTGTATGGTTTCATCAGTCTGGCTAGCGACACAGTGTAACTTGGATAGCCTGACTCACCTGCAACGCCGCATTGCTTTACGCAGGAACTAGGAGGATTTAACTACCCGTTTGCACTGACGTACCTGGAAAGAAAATCGCCGCAATGAACCCCCAAGGGATGGTGCGCGCACGAAGCACATCTGCGTGTGTCAGACGCAAGTGCGCGTGTGTAAATCCGAAAGGATGTTCAGTTTTCCGCTTGGATAGTCAGAAAACCTAGCCAGTATATCGGAATTTGTAAGGGTACTCAAGGTGAGGCGCCAGAGGTAAAGGAAGTGCACCATCCGAACAATCATAGTAGATGTGTGCATCTCATGCGTAGCGTGATGAAGGCACACTGACTGCATTGCAGATTGGCAATCTTGAATGAAATCACTCTCTGTTGAGTGAAACTGTTTTTGTGAAACTTCTCCCGAAAAAACTGTGAGCTTACACACGTCTCTGGCCGTGCACAGGCAGAAGAAAGTTGAGATATCCGTTATCATCAAATAGTGACGACAGCGTACGTGGCTTCTAATTCGTGACTCTCAAGAGAGCGAAACGTCAGGCATGACCCGATTGTGTATGCGAATGAAGTGGAAACAATCTCAACATATACTACTATATACTGTGTACCATGTACTTTCTCTTGAAAAGTGCAACAAGGTGGATAGGCCAGTCTAGAAGGACATCGTAAACTAATTCCAATCCTAAGGATGGTAAATCTTGCTACGTGTAGTGAAGATTTCAGTCGTGAGTAATCGAGTGATGGTCGCTTTAAACCATCGAGTATTGAGTTCGGAAAGCTGGTTATTGACAAGTCATTCTTTTCCAAGACTTATAAACCCTCCGGCTGGTAGTCCGCTGCATTAGAATTTCAAGCCTTTTCATTTCTGACGTCACGCTCACTCTGGCTTTGTTTTACTGAAGCTAAGTTAACCTCTTAGGCTGAACAGGCCACATAAAATTTCTGAAAAATCTCCAACAGACTAAGACAGGTTTCCTCTTTATAGACGTAATACACTAATCATAAGGTTGCTGAAAATTGTTCGACAACCCAGGACCGCTTTAGCCATTCTTGCGGCTTATCAGGTAGGCGCTGTCCCCGAGTTTCTGTTAACCCTATTTTCTACTTGAAACCAAATTGCAAGGAATTAGCAAGATACTGTCATTTGCAAACAAATCTGATTTTGCGAGGGACTCGCTTGAAACCCAGCTGAATCTCTTGTTTAGAAACATCATAAACGAGGGATTCAGCTGCGGTCCAGGTGAGTCTCTCGCAAAAACCAAATTTGTTGGCAAATGAGTGTATTTCGCTAGGTTTCCTCCTTCTTGAAGCTATTCAAGTGGGCACAGCCATCGATTTTTGTCAGACGAGTCTCCTGTTAAGGTCAAATGAGTTTTAAAATCGGGGTATTCCGAGAAGACAAGTTTGGTGGGGTGGTGCCAAACGGGTGAGTACCAAGTAGAGTTGCGGATGAGCTATTAACGACTGCATGAATATTGATCCGTCATTGGAATACATAGCAATATCTTGAAACATCGGAACAATTGGAACATGAGGTGAAGCACTCATTTGAGGGATATCATAAACGAGGAATTCTGTTAATATTCTCCCGTTACCACTAAATAACTTCGTATATGAATTATCTCCCCAAAGGTTTAATATTGCCTATTGGTGACCCGGCCAATGTTTCGATATTTCTAGCCATTCCGCCAGCCCCCATTTACGTGGTTGTGCCCAACCACCAAACCACCGCTACGCACTCCTACGCTCCTACGACCACCATCTACGCTACCTGAGCTACCAACATTTTCCTCTATAGAAAACATTTGCAAAGAGTGACGCATCCCCAAGGTCACCATCGGTACGACACGTCCGGAAAGCAGGTGCGTCGGTGGAGCGCACCAAACACGGCCTAGCAACATACGACCAGTGGAGTGGGTCTGAAATTTTTTACGACCGGAACACCGCCATTGTCCGTACAGAACGAACAACTGAACGACCATATCTGGTCGTTATATATATTGCGCAAAAGCCATGTGTTTTATCCTGACAATACAACCGTGTCCGACGTTCTCCGTCTTCTCCTTATCGTGTTGTCTGGCAGGCTCAGTACAGGCGTAATCGATAGACGGCCATTCACGATACAACATTACCTCACCCGGAAAGAGCATAAAACAGAAATTTCAAATGACAGACTGTCGGATACAATGCAGTGATTTATGGGCTGGAATTCTCCGTGCGTCTCATTGGTTTTGCGTGTATGACTGCAATACATTTCCTGTCCGAAAAGTTCCAGTTTACTTGGGTTTCTTAATCCCATGTCAGTGTTGTTTATAAGAAGCGAGCGGATAGATGAGGCACATCACATCAGCAAAAGCCTACTTGAAAGTAATTGGGTGGTCCCTGCAACATCTGTTTTATGTCGCGAACAGTTTAGCTTGGATGGTGACTGTCCTATGCCGATGGTGTCCCAGAATCACACTTATGATTTATTCTTTCTAAACGGTCTTCAGAGGTAAAAATCCTGTAGGACTAGGAATTTTCGCAGCTTAAAAGGGGTCTAAACTTTTCTACAAACAAGCTACTGGTCATGATGTGCACTGAGCGATCAATATTTCATTCATTTGCATGACTGACGTTGAAAATCCAGCCTCACAAGTCAGTTATCAGGCGATAAGTCCTCTGATCTCGGGACTTGTCATGTAGTTGATAAAAAGAACCTAATAGCGAGTAGTAATTGAGCTCTTTGTGACACGGCTCAGGGACTAGAGCAACAATTTACTGGGTTCGAACCCGACCTCTGCCTCACAACTTCCCCTGTCCAGGCTTCGGAAACCGGGCATCAACCCATTCTTCGGGCTTCATTCGGATGACATGGCAGTTAAGCCCCGAAAGGGTGCTGCAGCTGAACGTTTTAAAACTCTTCATGACGTCTATTCTATCCTCCTTGTTGCAAACGTGATCTGCAATCTTACCCTGTATCGAGTGTCGCTTGATCACAGTAACCTGGATGACCTAAACAATGCACATAGCCCAACAGATAGGAAAAACCCATTTCTGCACAACCTTCAGTTTTACAGTGCCCTTCACGTTCTCAGTCTTCTGAATGCCAGGTTAGGACCGGTTAACGCAGCTGACGTAGGAAGGAAGGAATTTGGATATAATGAATCGCTATGAATCAGTCACGGCTTCTCGGCTGTTCTTTCATATGTCTTGCGAAAAGCCTTTGGATAGCTAATCAAGTTCTCACTGCCAATTACTTTCCTCGTTTCAGCATAAATGAATGAAACTTACAGGCGGGTAGGCAGAGCGACATGTATATCCACATGTACTGTCTGTGTGACAAGATATCAGCGTTTTTGTATCACAGAAGCGGTTAGTTATGTATAACTGAAAAAGCTCAATAAAGTTGTTCGAAACTGAGTAACGGCAACCTCAGGATCAGTGAAGCAAGGAAGAAAGTACGGGCAGAACTGTGTCTTCGGCACTCATTTTGACTGCCAGAGGGGAAGTTGAGAGATCTGGTCGGAGAGGGTTAGATACTTATTACAGATTGTGTGAGTGACATTGTGAACATTATATAAGGATGGATTACAGTTAGGAAGGCAAATGCCGTCGTGAAAATGGGAAAACAAGCGCAGAGAATGGCCTCCAGCAATAAGGCATCCATTCAAACACGAGGCTGGTAATATGACAGAGGTGCATATAGTGGAACCCGACTAAAACAAATGAACATTGAGAAGATACTTAAATGTGCACAGCTTTCTTATGCGGATGGCGGGTTTCCTTGATGTTAGACGCTGGGGGAGGAATTTAGTGTTTGAGGAATTTAGTGTCGGGGAATCCGCACCTGCCATTATGTACACGCTGTAAAAGACCTTCCTTTGAGGAGGCAGAAAGAAAGCGTCATTGGAGCGCCATGTTGAAGTAGTCAAAGGGTTTACTTCTTAGGTTTATTTCGAGGTTAGAAAGAAAGTAAATTAAGTCATTATGTCCTGTAAATGATTTCTGAATTAGTCGAAAATGATGGGCTGAAGGATAAAGTCATCGACTTATTTAATTGGTTCCCTCAAGCCAATATCACCAGCGTAACTATTCAAAATAAAAGGAGTTGCAAGTGGACCTTGAAAAGTCGGTATAAATGACCAACCGGCAAATGCCTAATCTTTATGTGCTTGGAACGGGAAGACTATGCACAAAACCAACCAACTGAGGAAGTTGTGTTTCCAGAGGAATAAAACTTGCTTATTAACATTGTGTGCCCTAGTTGAAAATCGCGAAAGATAAATAAAAAAATAACTACAGAATCGACTTTGTCAAGAGAGGAATCGGTCAAGTGAACAAGGGAAGCCTCAGTATCATGTATGCGGTGAGTTACTCACAAGTGAACTCAAATAAGGCCGGAAAAATAAGCTCATCAACGGAGATTAATGAGAAACTGTTAGGCCATATTTTTTCGTCGGCTTTGAAAGGCTTGATTTAAAAATCCTCTGGAACCTGTGTATAAGTGCCCATCAAAACGCTCACTAACGATGTCAAATATGGGCTACATCAGTTCAATAACACAATTCTGAAGAAATATGTAAACGTGAAACCGTGTTTGAAATCCATTAAAGTGGAAGACATGTAAGCAATCACAGCAACTGTTTCAAAATATCACGTAGATCCTGTCGTTTTGAAGATAGATGGTGCTGAAGGGGCCCAGATAGTTCAAAGCGGTTAGAGTGAAGCTATGCGTTCAAAGAATTCGATTGCAGGTAATTAGCAGTCATCTAGATTCCCTACTCGTAGTTCTTCAAGCTTCAATACTTTTTGATGGGTCCGGACACGTCAGTTTGGACTTGATTTCTTTCTTTTTCTCTTTTTTTGTAGACTGTGTTGATTTCATCCTGCAAACTCATTTTCCACTTCATTTTCCCTCTTTCTTTAACTTCGCTTCTTTCAAATCACCGAACAATAGGGCCACCTTCCTCAAAAATGTTTACAGCATCACAAGTGTGGTTGAAGGGCACCTAATCAACAGCTTTCCAATATTTCCAGACTGGAAAGTGATCAGAAAACAAAGTAAATTAAACTTTCTGTGGGATGACATTCTACGACAAAAACACAAACTGAGTAGCCGAAAACTGCAAAGAGAAAGGCATGGTATGGGCTGATTTGAAGATTAGCGACACTGCAAAAAATTTTTGGAAAACGACTTTTCAAAACCGAGACAACGGAACTCAGACTTGAAAAGCTATTCGTTTAAACAATGCGAAATTGATGAATCCTGTGAGTGAAGCTTTTCGCACTCGGTACCTTGCTGGAATTCTTCTGTGTAGTGTACAGCAAACACAATGCCCATGGTTTTCATTGAGAAAACGAACTTTCACGCAAACTGCTGTGAGTGTATCAGTTTCAGTGCACGACGCCTAGTTGGCGGCTCTCAGACAGGGTGAAACCGACAATTTGTGCATTTTAGGGAATCACAATTTCAACATTTTTTGGAAAAAGTTTGCTGCAGAATATCCCTGAAGCCTGTGTTTTCACACGCTATACAGAACGACGTTATTATAATTCTGAATATGACGAACTTTAGTGAGTATGAAGATGCATTTGAACTCAGACATATGTAGCAATAATGTTCGCAAACTGAGCTAAGAATATCTTGAGAAGAGAAACTTCCTTATGGTGCGATTCCCACGGAATTAGGTCAAGGTTTTATCGCAAAACTTGGATTTAGATTTCTCTTCCGGGGACATAATGAATTCTGAAGTAAAATGAAACGCACCTGCGAACATACAGGTAGCTCAGAGTTTCCATGAGGTCTGAGGAGCGCCTCATCGTTGTGCAGTGGAATTTCGCTGAATCTCTCTCGTTAATGTTCATTACCGAACACCTTACCGTTTCTGGTGCTCCGACAGTCTATGATCGCGAATCACCCGTCCACCCAGCTTCTTTAATCAATCATAGGGTTTTGGTATTAACGAGCAAGTATTCTTTGCGGGAATCTCAACCTAGTGATAAAAATTGTCAGTACGTCGACGATTTAGTAAATCCTCAAATGGAGGTATACATTATACTCATGAGGAGTGCCTAAATCCGACAGACAACTCAGCCGGTATTGTGCCCGTTGAGTGAACAAGAAACGGAAAACCGTTTTGACCTCCAGATGGAACATATTAACCTCGGCCACTAGAACAGTGATCACACACTGGGAACCCTCAAATTGGTATTATTTGGGAAAACAATTCCACTTGAGGTGAATCACCAGTAACACTGATAAAACAAGGCGTAATTGTTAAGCTTCTGTGACAACAGGGTCAACCAACGAATATAATGAAACCACATTTCAAGGTCCACAAATATAGACAGTCATTGAAGTGAGCTACTTTCCTTATCCATAAAAGTCGCCACAAAAACAAAAGGTTGGATTGAAGCATATAAAGACGACAACAAACCTGGCTTCGCGCTGCATGCTTTTGTCGTGAATATTTAACCTTGTGCATCCTGATTCTTTACTTATACATGCTTCTATATTTAACCAAGGAGTAGCTATCACTCTACCAACGCAACATCACCCTACAACAAACTATCGTCGTGTACGTACATACACAGATAAACCTACAACACGACAAAACACGCCAGAAGCCTGATTTTTTGTTTCGACACAATATGATTGCTGTTGGAGGTTAGATATGTGCGCCGTCTTAAAGACCTGCCTCTGAAAATAATCTTTTCCATTCACCTTGTGTGATCTCGTTAGTGAGCTTGTGACAAAAATCGTTCAGGTGTAGCAGCCTTTCAGTGCTTTACTGTCACGCCACCAGAAGGAAGTACGTGAGGTAAGATACTGTCCGGTTGTTTAAGCCTAAACAGAGGCACGGTTTAGGTTTGAACCACGAATGTTCCAGTTAGTAAATTTGCGCTCCAACCGCTGAGCCATCTTAGGTTATGATAAACCCAATAGGAATCAAAAATCCTGATCCCCTCAGCATGCAAAAAACGGCTATCGCCTTTATATTAAGGTAGTTGACCGCTTCTATTTCAGGAACGACACTTGAATAAAAGGATAGGAACTGGCTGACAAGCAATCTCCGTCAGAGCGAAGACAGTGGAATGAAAGGTGTCTTATTCACACATTGTCGTGGCCTCATGAACCTCATCCTCGTAGGGTAGGCAGACGCCAAGAGACAAGTTCTTGAGCTCAAGTTTCACGAGCTGTTTATTGAGCCTCGTTACAGACTACCTTTGAAGGGCAAGGTAGGTATCTCAAGCTAACAACTTCGATCAAGCGGCCGAAAGTCGTCGTTTGCACTTCATTTTCACGGCGCTTTCTTGAAATGTAAACGCTTCAGAACAAATTTGTATGTTCCGAGGTAGAATATACTTCTCAACACCACACTTAACCTACTTAAACAATGCTTCTTTGGCCCTCCATTATAAGGTTAGCGTTATACAGAGGAGATTTTAAGCAAAATTTCACCTGAAACTCCGCATATAACCGTAGTCATGATGAAGTAAATCGTAGGTTTTCGCAGGAACTTTTTTTCGCGAGTTTGCTACTATATACATGTCTGAATAATAGAATGTAATGACTGATAAATCCAGTGCATTTTTTCTGTCTGAGAGTACAGATTGAGCTCCAGAAAGAGCGATTAGAAATGGTCTGTCAGGAGGAGACGCCCTTTCAAGAGTTGATGTCAGCAGTGAAAAATTCTCAAAGAAACAAGCAGAAGGGAAATATGCATTGAAAGCTGGTGCCTTGTCATCGAATCTTGATAAGCAACCTGTCTTAAATCGTAGAAATCAATAGAATCCCCGGTGGGGGGTTTTACACTGCCAGGTTAGACTGATGCTTCAGATGTGTGTCAGTGAATTTGGATGGTTACCTAAAGGCGAGACGGACTGAAGGTTCACTCGCCCTATAAGCAACGGATGGATTTTCGAATAGCACACATGGTTCCGGATTTCCGTGATGGCTGACGCCAGTGCACATCTGGTACTTTTCTGAGGGTACTTTTCTTCACGAATAAACCTTAGAGTCAACACCATGGAACATTTCTTTCCAGTTGTGACATTATTGAGAAAGCGAGGGTATCCATAGATTTCAGTGACAGGTTTGAATGATGTGATGCCGATATGTGCACTGCAATGTCTGTAACGTTCTAATTGGCACTGGAAAGAGCTGGGTTTTGTCCAGGTATTCATAAGAAGGATCCGTCATTTCGACAACCTACGACCGGTTTTGCTCTTCTCGCAGCTCATCAGGTTGACGCAGTTCCCGAGCTTCCGTTAAGCTTATTTTTACTTGAACAAAATAAAACCTCATAAACGATACGCAAGTGAGTGTATTTCGCTAATATCTTGTAATTTGCGCTTTAGTAGAGCATAAGGTTGACGGAAACTCAGGTACAGTGTCTACCTAATCAGCCCCAGAAAAAGCGATGCGGTAGTGGGCTGTCGAAATGTTTTCAGAAACCTCATCAGTAATGTATTACGTCCATACAATGTATCGCGATATCTCGAATGTCATGCCAACTGAAACATGAGGCGGCCTGGTTCAGCACATTCATTTGAGAACATCATACACGAGAGTTTAAACTGGGTTCCAGATGAGTCTCCCGTCAAAACCAAATGGGTATTCAAATGAGTGTCGTTTTCTAGGATTGCCTCTTTCCCATTGGTTCTAGACGAACAGGGACTCATCCTCATTCCACGAATGTGATCACAGTAAAGATACGGTTCTGTTGACGGAACTCAGGTACAGTGTCTACCTAATCAGCCCCAGAAAAAGCGATGCGGTAGTGGGCTGTCGAAATGTTTTCAGAAACCTCATCAGTAATGTATTACGTCCATACAATGTATCGCGATATCTCGAATGTCATGCCAACTGAAACATGAGGCGGCCTGGTTCAGCACATTCATTTGAGAACATCATACACGAGAGTTTAAACTGGGTTCCAGATGAGTCTCCCGTCAAAACCAAATGGGTATTCAAATGAGTGTCGTTTTCTAGGATTGCCTCTTTCCCATTGGTTCTAGACGAACAGGGACTCATCCTCATTCCACGAATGTTATCACAGTAAAGATACGGTTCTTCATCTTATTCTTCCCTCAAAAGCAAGAACCATATGTGTTTCCGTATGGGTACATCACAGCCACAACCAGAAGTGATTATAATGCGATTTATAATGTTCGCAATATGCTTTTCATACCCGCTTCCTTGATAACTTTGTAAAAGTCATCAAGTCGTCAGTGACACCCCTAAAAGAGGGAGTCATCCAGATGAAGAGGGGCAAGGTATCTCACAACAGGCTAAGCTGGGTAGAGTATGTCAAGTGTTAACCAGACTTCAGCATTCGGCCTTGTGTATACTGATGCACTGGGTTAAGGATCTCAACTGACCACTCACCCGTGCCTACGCCCTTTGATTCCATGGTGCCAGGTGAAAATGGGTTTGGGTCTCCAGCAACCCGAAGGGGATGGCAGCTATTTTCGTGTCACATCACAATGAAACCGATACAATCATCTACTTTTCTTCAACTATGCAGAAGAGAAAGGGACAGTGGTCCGCTCCAACAAAGGATAATTCAAGGGGCATCCGGATGTCGCCAACACGATGATGTTAGTTTTCTTCAATTTTCAACCATTGAAAATGTGATAGCGGTGACCAGGCTGCCACGTTCACAGCGCTGGAAGCTTATGTATCCACTTATTTGACCACTGATAGATCGCCTTCCCACTTCGAGTCCCAAAATGTAAGTCTCCAGTAGAACAGAATGTGTGATCACCCAGATCCAATAGCCCCTCAAACAAATAATGTTTCTGAAACTGATCAATAGTCACTTTTTGTGAGGATATCAAGACCGGTCATTAAATTCTGCGAAAACACGACTCCTTTCCTGATCCTGTGGTTATCCGTATAACGCACATCTGTTTTTGTTTCCAGCCAATTATCAATCCACATTCATCTGCAAACATTTGCGAAACGGCGGTAAGACATCCTATGTTTTTAACCTATCTTGCTGACAGATTACCCAACATATCATGTACGGAAGATATGGAGACTTTGAATGGCTACGTGAACAAAAGCAGTACACACCTGCAAAAAAGGTAGAATCTGATAAAGTTAGCCAACCCATCAATAGACACAGTGAAAGACATGGAACCAAGTCGATCGGGTTAGATACGATACACTTGTCAGTGTATGAATTTGTGATTGTTTGTGGGCCCGTCAGGGAAAGTTTACAGGAGTAAGTAGAAATGGTACGGGCCCTTTTTCTGTGAGGGTTGCCTTCCAGTTGACAGTCAGATATTTTTGACTGGTTTCGGAATGTGACTTTGGTGATATATGGTTCCAAGTTTTTCGATCTATACGGAGTTCGTGATATTCTCCGAAATGAGTTGTGGAATCCGAGAACGAAAATCAGCAGTTCAGCCAGCTAGAAAATTCCGTAACGAAAAATGCTATCTCCTCAGGTGCTGCTGTTAGTTTTTAGCTAAGATAGAAAAATATTTTGTTTCCATGTCAGTCAGTAACTTGGCTTTTTATAGCCAAGCTTTTTATAGCTCGAATAATAAGTTACTCAATCCGCCCACCCCGGACAACAAATTCCGAAAGGTAAGACTAGTAGCTAAACTCTCATCTCTGCTGCACCTTGAGATCAGAGTGAATCTATAAAATGCTACCTATTAGTACAAGATATAGGAAATAAAGAGGTTTTCCATTTTTGATAGCTACAATACAGATGATTATGTGTATTGAATAGCCCGATTTGCACTGGGCCCAATGGAATGCAACACCGTAAAGTCCTAATTTATATTTCCTAAGCGGGCAGATTAGCATTCAGAGAGTGCTTGTCTTGTTGTGCCTTACAAAATGAAAAGCTTGCCAATCTTTTAACGCATTGTGTCACACTAGTAAGAACGGAGCTTGGACAAAGAACATTAAAAGTTGACGAGTTGTGTCACCAAAATTGGTACTATTCGTGAGGTTTTGTTCTCACCAAGTCGACGTGTCTAAGCAATCGAGAATTCAACAAACGTAGACAGCCCTCATCGTGCATAATGTCATGCCGAAATGATGCACAAACATTCGCACCCCAAGAATCTTTTTGTAGATGTAAAGGGACGCTAAATCACTTAAGGAAGCCTATCGTGGAAGTACTGCCTAAGACAAACGAAGGGTTGTAATGTCGGTATCAGGAAGGTCAGTTTCCTGAAAGCAACCACTGAATGCCCGGAATCTACGGAGAATCTCAGCTCCGCTGGGTGTTGACCAGACAGACAACGCCTCCTCAATATGCAGCGCGTCACAGCCTTGCATCAAACCTAGGCAGCGCGAGTCAGCGTTGATCAAGGACAGACAACGCCTCCGCAATATGCAGCATGTCGCTGCCTCGTACTAAAGCCAGACCGCGTGCGTCAGCATTGGACCAAGTTCAGACAGTGTCCTTCCAATAAAAAGCCTGAGGCCTTTGTACTTTTCGCACTCGCACGCACTCGCGCTCTCGCAACCACTTTGTTGGAATATAGCTACTGTGCTCCCTTCCGTGAGTCTTTTTCTCTCCGACACTAGGCACTGGAGCGGGTCAGCAGCAGATACCACAGGCCGGCGAATCAGCAGATATAACAGTCGGTATAAACAGTGTGCTAACTACTACATACTTATTACAGATAAAACCCTTGAAACTGATGTCAACGAAGCAGTGCATGGAGGGAAAACATCTCAGAATATACATCCCAGAATGTACGGAGATGTCAGGACCGACCCTTCAGCAGTTTAGGTGAAAGGCACACACTGTTGAGTGTAGTTGTAGGTCAGGTGTTTGCTTTTGTGTTTTGTGGGGATTCGCAGTGTGCTTGCAAGCAAATTGTCCGACTCACCGGCACCATGGAACGCACCAGAGTTAACAATACATCAATATATTGCCAATTTGACTGTTTTGACATCACATAGAGACATTGTCGAACACAACGCATACAAGTTGCGTTGCAGATTGTTTTCTGTGAGTTCCCGTGATGCATTCGAACTACTCTACTATTGCATCCCACTGGGCTAACTGTGGACCCAATTTGGCTTCTAAGTTTTTAAATACTAGGCAATATTCCCATTGTTCTATGTAGTACATGATCAGTGGATAGACGGCCTTGATTTAAAAGCGGTCAATACAGTTGGCAGTGAATTTCACTTTACCATTCCAGTGATTAAGTCTGTTTCTTCGGTGACGAATGTAAAGTTTACAGCCAGTGTCAGATCGGAATCCACTGATGTGAACTTTTATATTTATAGAAAAAATGTGTTGTTTTGTTGTCCGGCGCTAGATCCGCTGGGAGCCAAATGGATCCCACCGTCATCGTCAATGGAAAAAGAACACAAGCTCTTTAGCGGGACTTAATTCTGTACCACCTTGTAGTAGATGGAAATAAGATGTGATCTTTGACTCCTACCCATCCAACGTGAAAATTGGTTTGAAATTTCACAAAAGGCGCAAAGTTCTGAGCATTGCCTAGGGATATTCCTGTCGGTGATGGTAATGGAATGAACATAGCGTTCTCTTAAACGACGTAGATGACGTTCCTGAAAAAGGCGCTGCTATGGAAAACTTAAACAGGGCTGTAGGGAGAACACCTGTGGAATTACTTTTCGTCTATTGATTCGAAACTGGACAACAAATGCAGACCAGAGTAAAACTACACAGGAGTGATACGCGGTGCTTCATACCAGCCAGATTATAGAAAAACCGGATATCAGATTTAATCAGGCAAATTTATCTGGACCAAAAGTCACTTCTCAACTGATAACTTGTCACTGAATACTGTTCGGTTTACCCTACGCGTATGCTATGGAGGTACAAGTAGTATAATTCAATGAATGACGCCAGACAACCAAGTACTTGTTTGTATAAAAGCAATATATAACACTCGGAGATAACCACCAAGGATACATTTCATTAGCACGACTCACTTGCCATCTATCCACGGTTTCATACCTCTTCTGTAATCTTCTGGTTGGATCCAATCGTGAAGAATCAGCAAGAACGCTTAGGGGGAATGTCGTGGTCGTCGTATTCACTGTGGTCAGAAAGTCTGCTTGTTAGGGTGATTCGTTTCGTTTTCTATACAACCAAAGGCAATTACTTGAGACGCTGTGCGGGTACACACCGTTCATGCACAAAGTTGTGATCTGCTCTGACTGAGTTGCATTATAGTAGACCTCGTCTTCTTCTCCTACGCATGCCCCCAAATTTCTGCGCGCTGTTTCATTGACCTATTTTCCTCGGCACATATCTCTACGCTACGCTTTAGGAATCAATCTCTTTCCGATGCCTGTCTAGGAATTCGAGCGGAACAATTGTTATAAACTGCGCGCTTCTAACGGTAAATATGTGGAATCTGTTTACCAGAAATAGTAAACGCTGAATTAAGTCATTAATCTAGGCTTTTCGACAGGGGAATTAATAACTTTCCGAAGATGACACGTTATGTCAATAAAGCTCATGATCCCCATCATAATATGACTGAGAAACAGTTTTGGCTTTATCAGAATATTCTGATTCGCGCCGTGACGTAGCTCATTATGGCTGATATTTCCTCGAGCGAAATCGACAGCTCGTGACAAACCAATTAATCGCATGCCCAAGCACTGTATAACAGTTTTATGAACGGTTTCAGATTTCTCAACTGGGAGTATATTTCTACTTTCTATGTACGGTGACCTGACTAGCTTTTAGCACTTTAGAGCAAAGTTTCTTTGTGACCTTCAATCGGAAAACGTCTGCATAATACACCATCCGTTTGCAGAATTAACCACTTTTCAATGACTTGGTGCTGAAAGTTGGCCAATACAACTGGATGAAATTAGCTGAATTCGATTGCTCTACACAGTATCAAGCTGCGCTGTGGGATGCCTCTATGGTAGATGCGTGACAGTATCATGTCTCATTAAAACGATGGTGACTTATTGTGAATGGAAATGCACAAAGTTTGTGCGAGAAAGTTTGAGCTTCGGTAGCCAGCAAAATAAGGAATCATCTTGGTTAGTGGAAGTCATTATATAACTTGGCGGCACTACAGTTTAATTTTCACTGTCTAACTAGTTGAATGGGCAAAAAGCCAATGGATGCAAAGAAATATACGTGTGCGCCTATTTTGGCCGAAGTGGCAAGCTTCGGGATGTTCGCAGTTCTGTTAATATTCTCACCAAGGGCTAGTGAAAGTTTAACTAAATGCAAATTGCTCACTAGTATCAAAAGCTCGAATATGATGCCTTCGACGTAGAAAAAACATGCTCTTTCCCTCTTGTTCCCGGTAATATCGCAATAATATTTCGTTAAAAACGCACGTGGGTGGTTTATCATGCTAATTCAAATTAAAAATTGCGCAATATTATTTCCGTTTTTTTTCATGGGCCAAACGAATATGCATACAGGAGAAATAAACATATTACTGCATTGTTTTTCGTACAGGATTGTGATGTTTTTCACCAGCTAACAGATGTATACGTAAAAACATGGTGCTCCCAACGGGTAGAGCGCTAAAACGTTCAACTGACATTCACATGGCATAAAACAACAACCGCCTACGAAATTTACTCATGGTTTATTCAAACAACCGGGAACACCAGCGAAAAATAGGATACACGGGAAACAGCGCACACGAGTAGAGGATACCGTCACGGTGGATGTTCGAAAGATGTTTGCCGAATTTATGCAAAAACAAGCAACGTCATTTGTGTATCACTCAGGGACATTGAGATCATCCCAGATGCACTCACTTGGATGTTCGATGTTTGCCGAATTTATGCAAAAACAAGCAACGTCATTTGTGTATCACTCAGGGACATTGAGATCATCCCAGATGCACTCACTAATAGAACGCGGTCTTCGAGGGGGATTCTTGGACACCTCCAACAAATCACTTCATCGTCGGTCCCATGCAGCAACCACTGGAGTCATAGCTTAAGCAAAAATTTCCAAGCAAGTACACACACAGAACAGACAGTAGAGGGAACACACGAAAGATGCTTGCTATCTCAGAAGCTTTAATACATTTACAAAGTATGGCATATGTAGCATTCTAGAGACGAGTGTCAAAAGTTGTCCTCTGTAGTGTTCGCGGATGTGTCAGAAGTCCCAATGATGCGATTTTCATCATCACTAGCTAGACTAGAGTGGAATTACTGGTCGGTTAGTTGACGACGTACTGTCTGGGCCATTTTAACGACCTCATATCTTACACTGCAACAAACGAGACTATTACCTCAGATCCTGCTTATCAATCCGAAAGCCAGACTGTTTAGGGAAAGAATTCTTTGTAAAGCAGGGAAAAATGCAATACAGGGNACAGGGTACCAGATCACAAAAACAAGAGAATAAGCAATGAATGAAGCACAATTCTAGGACATTGAATGACGCAATACCTTAAAATCATAAACGATGAATGACGCATTTCGCTGTGTTGCCTCTGAATCCGTTATTCGAGTGATTCCGCGGACTGACTTATCTGATTGGTGTTTAACCTGTATTCCAATCCCCTTTCTGCATTGTTAAATTGTCGCACGATCGTTTTTGTGAACCTAGATAATTAGCATTGTTACACAGTAAATGAATTTTTGCCCAC